CCATCTAAGAGGATTTATGTGAATTCTAAACCAAAGCATATTCTGAAAAAGGCTACATTGCAGCCAAATACTGCCTGATGTATAAAGTCTTTCTATGTGTCTTCTACCAAGGCCATAGAGCTAGATTTATAGTTCCTAGAATAATTAAATTACATGCCTGTGATGTGGAGACCTCACAAGATCGTGTTCAGTGTGAAAACCATAACTTTTAACCCCATCGACAATATAAATACGCCTAATACTTCAGTGGGCCTTAGTATCCACTAGGGTTTGATTCCAGGGTCCCTCGTAAAGACTTAAATCTGTAAATACTCAAGTTCCATTGTATACAATGGCATAGTAAAATGCCCCATGTATAAAATGACAAAATCAAGGTTTTCTTTTGGGATTTACAAAATTATTTTCAAGCTGTAGGTTGTTGTGTCCATGGATACAGAATCCAGGAATATGGAGAGCTGACTGTAGAGTTTCTGTGACAGCAGTTATCCTACAGCATGTTTTTCGTCCACCTTTCTTTATAAAACTGTAGTATTTTAGTTGATAAACAAAGGAGGGGAGTTTAATGCCATACATGGTCTACATGTAATCCTTTCATATACACACTTTTTGTGGTATCTGCTAGCTCTATCAGATTCTAATCTTTGCCCAGTTTGTTATCACAACTGAAATGATTGTGATTTCAGTCATTCCATATCTTCTCTAGATCCTAAAAAATTAAAGATGCTATTTTTTTACATGAGAAAACATCCCCACAGGAGGATGTTCAAGAAACTCAGGAGGTGGAAGATTCTTCCACATTGTTTGACACGGTCTTAAAGTGTTGGATAATGCTCTACTACCATCCCATATCACAGAGAGCTACTGAAATGGAGGCAGTGAACACAAGGGTGGTGGTCATCAAATTCTGTTAGATGATATTGGCATACCTGCCATCCCCAGATATTTTCCAAGATGGCCGGGCCCAAAAAATTGCTCACTTCTGCTCAACATTGTGTTGAGCAATGTTAACTACTTCCTAATCTTGACAAGAGATCCCATCATAACGCTTCCTTGCCTTCAATATCTAAACACAATCTTATTTTATCCAGAAGTTAGATGAGAGAAACAAAAAAGTGGGTGAATGGAAGGTGCAGTGAGTGCCTTGTGTCCTGCATTGTTTTGAGCTTTGGATTTGTGATCACAGAAATTCCCTTGTAGACACCTACTGACATTTTTTGGATGATATTTATTTCAGTTTAGTTTTGAAACTTCATTTTCCTTCACAACTAAGCACAGTTGGCCTGAAGGAACCTATGACAGAAGAAAGATAAGGGGATGCAATCCTACACCTTGTGCGCTCAATAATTCTTGATACTATCTGAATAGATTCTCCAAAAAAAGAGAGCGAAAGAAGATATTTCCAAAGACTATTGGTCCTATGGCCTGACTCTATGGCCATACTATCTAGCAATACTCCATTAGTGTCCCTCTTGGTTTTTTAGTTTCTGTGTGAAATAGCTCAGTGAAATCATTTGATAATTGAGTTGAGAGTCATCTTACTTCTCATTCTGATCTGACCCTGCACCTAGAGTTGGTAATAGGTACGCTGAAGGCAAATAGATGTAATCATAACAAGTAGCAGAGGCTGTGAAGAGTTGGTTTGTTGAGACAAATGGTATTTGCTGTGTTCTGGATGAAGCTACACAGTTCTACTATCTACCTGTGTCAGCTTTTGTACAGAAGTTTATAGACTCACCTTTGTAGAGATAATCTGGTCATAGTAATCCAACAATCATCCAAAATTGGCTACTGCCATGCGTTCTTTTTGGGGTTACTTTTGAAGATTGCCTAAAATGTTCAGTTAATTCATTCTTTCCCTGTCAGACTCTATGATTTCTAGGGGAGCCCTCCTGTTGGTCCCATCACTTTTGAGAACACAGGTGAAGACCTTCTCAATTGATGCTGTCAGACTTTTAAACATCATTCTTAGGGAAGCTAGGATGGTTCCCTCCTTGTTCGTTGACCAGGAAGTGAAATAAATTCTGTTCTAACAGGTTTCTCTCAATGCATTGACTGCAAGTGATTTTAAAATACTGTCCCTTCTTGTGGTATTATGTTCAGCTTATGTGTACCATATGTCTTTAGTTGGATTTGTTTTAAAAGTTTTAATTCTATTATTTTCTAATGAATTGTATTTTAAAAATAATAGTATATATCTTTCTTCCTTTTTATAAATATGTTTAGCCATACTGATTTTGGTTTTTCAAAGCCACTTTGAATATAATGTGACAGAATATAATATGGGACGAGATATCGAGACAGCAGCAGCTGGTTGGTTCCATGCCAGTGGGCAAGTAAATCTGCTCTTAGTTTTTGTCTGAGCTTCAGAAAAACTCTGCAGGTTGTTGAAGTCAATCTCAAATCAGGTTCAACAGTTTGCATAGCTCTGCAAAGGTTGGAGAAAATCCACAGCCTCACCGACAAGCGGGACTGCAAATGTTTGCCTTCACTGACAAGCTACCAGGGAACCATGATTATCAGAGAACCATCAGCAGCTAAGAAATTGTGCTGCCTTCAGGTTCATTTCTGAGAAAAATACTCAGTTTGAGTACTTACATGTTAATGATCCACACAGTACTGGAGTAGAACACCTCCAATCGTTCTTGTTCCCCATCACCCTACCCTTGAGGTCATGAGAACCGATATTTCTCTGGTTGGCTTCACTATCTGAAGTGATGTGTGTGGTGGTCAGTTATGGTATCCTATGGTTGAAATTTTCCATTGCAATTAGGTTACACCATTCTCTTATACTGCGAATCATTTGGCTAAGGGGTGGCATACAATGGTTCAAAGCAAACAATATTGTTTAAGCTTCTGCTAGACAATTCCTATTATTCCATTGCTCCTTGTTTCTTGCATAGGTGCTCTGCCTGTGAGTCAGTCTGAATTCAATTTAAGGCTACATGGCTTAATATTTATTTTGTGTGAAATTTAGACTTGTGGTGCATTTAAGACAAGAACAAGGAAATCACTTTCTTGACAGGTGTCCAGGGACTGTTACAGACAGGTCAGGAGGAAGGAAGGCTCTGTACAGTACAATGTTTATGAAGGCTTTATTCCAAATGGAAAAAAGGGTAGAAAGGCCAACTGTCATTTAGGTTGTTTACTGTAGTACACGGCAGGATTACACTCATTTTACAAGTTAATTTTTATGTTCCATGACATGAAGCATAAAAGGAAATTGTCATTGATTATATTTTTTCCAGAAGTTAGCAAAATGTTATTAAAGGACAAATTAAAACATTTGTCATGACTTGGGTAGATATTAAAATGGCCAAAGTGACCATTGACTGAGCAGCTTTTCTATGTCTCTTGCTTCTTGTTTCAGCAGGACTGGGAAACAACAGTCAGTGGTCCTCTGCTATAGGGTGATGGGGCCAGAGTTTTTCCCTGATGTCTCTTGAGGAGGATTGGGCAGCAGTCCTAACTAGGACCTCATCACACTGGGCTCCAGCTCCCTCCTTGGATGCTTACAGGACAGAGCCTGACCAAGCCCATTACATGATGCAGGGATACTTCCGGTGAGGCTTCATCCTGAAAGCATCCTTGGATGGATCCTTAGGGGGACGAGATACTTTCTGTGTTCTCATTGCATGGGACCAGCACGGGGAAAACTGAGCAGCGACGCTTCCCCAGTGGGATGGAAAAGGGGGAGATGCGAGTGATGTGAGCAGCAGATTTCCCCACTGCCCACTGGATTTGCCCCACTGTCCCCATTGATGTCCCCGCTATTTCCTCGCTTGATGACCTCAATGTGATGAGATCCCTAGTAACTGCCTAGAATGGGGAAATCCTACAGGGACTGCCTGTATTATGACAGCAACAGAGAGAGAGAGAGAGAGAGAGAGAAGTCAGATACGACTGCATTGATGTCTATTCTAAGACTTATGCCGTGTTGATGATGGTGGGAAAAGAAGACAGACTTACTTGTTTGTTATTGTGCTTTTTCATGGTACTCCAAAAAAGTGAGCATCCTCACTTACTACAGTACGATCTGCATATCTGTGGAGAATACATTCAAGCACTTTGTGTGGATCTGCAGACCATGAATAGTAGTGATCCTTACTGAACAGACGACATCCAGTGGAAGCATATCATAGAGTCCTGCTGGAGGGGTTAGGAAATGTCTAGAAAGAACACCTTTCTAGGGATTGCTAGGCTTTCCAGCAGAAACAAATCATCGAAATGCCTGGGGGACCTAGAAAATGCCTAGAAAGTACATATTTTGTCAGACATTGATATGTTAAACTGTAGTACCGGTTCTACAGATCCAGGGGTCATACTGTAGTAGCATATATCTCTTTATACAGTTTTGCATCCATATGGAATCTCCAAAAACAGTGGGGAATGAGAAAAGCTGCATGATATGATTGACAATTTGGGCAATCCAAGTTCAGATTTCACGTCACGATCAGCTATTACAGCGAATCATCATTTTGATCTATTTGACACCTTTGCTAACTGTAGGCTTTGGAGACCTATATGGGAATGGCTTAATTTTTAGAGGAATGCTGTTCCAAAAAAATAATTGACTAAAGGGAATTTTTGGTGGCCCCTCCCCCTAGACGCGCAATGGTTCTCAACCTGTGGATCCACAAGTGTTTTGGCTTTCAACTCCCAGAAATCCTAACAGCTGGTAAACTGGCTGGGATTTCTGGGAGTTGTAGGCCAAAACACCTGGGGACCCACAGGTTGAGAACCACTGCCACAGTGTAAGGGAGAGTAACATCCATGAGTAACTTCTGGTCAAACTTGGAGTTTGAGGACAATGCAGACAAGTCTTGAGTCATTGGTATAACTAATGCTTTTCAAAAACCTCCTTGATCTGGATTTTGAGCTGAAGTTTTTAAAACTTAGATGGAGAAAGAAGCTTGGTTTATTGTAACAATGAACACAAATAGATACCATATGAGGAGATGATTCTCCCAGATGTTTAAGGCATTCTTTAATATGTTTTCCAGGTTAGAACAAGAAATAGGAAAGCTAGAAAGCGAAGAATCCCAAATATCGGCCAAAGAGCAAGTCATCTTGGAAAAACTAAAGGAGACAGAGAAATCCTTTGAGGACTTGCAAAAGGTAAGACATAAACAATAAAAAAGCAACTCAGAAATTTACAAAGAATTCAAGAAATGTTGAAGTGAGATACATCATTGTTCTTGATGGGAACGGTGCTGCTGCTGTTTTACTTTTTTCAAGCTTTTCTTTCCAGCAACTGGCACATAATACAAGTTGGGGTGGAAGAGGTATACGGAAAGGCAAAGTAAGGCTGATGTCCAGATAGTCAATTAAAAAACAGGCTGCACTTTTCAATCTGTCAGGTGTCTTTGGCATCAGTCACCTATATAGGCTGCCCAGATGTCTAGAATAGTTGTCCAGAAGCTGACTCAAGAGTAGGGAATGCCTTTTGCTCACTGAAACAGGAGTTGTGCACATTAACAACTCCCTCTTACAAATGTCTGTTAGAGAAGTAAACCTTTTTAAATTGAATAGGACTGACTCCAAACCAAGTGTGGGACTGCAACCTAAAAGATTTCAAGTGGTTTCAGATTAACTAGGTAGAGTAGCTGATTAGAATTCCATGAGCAGTAGGCCAGATTTTATTTAAGTATTATTAAATGCTATTGAACACTACTAAAAATAATGCTACATATTTTAATGGGAACTTGGAGCAAAAATCTAGTTGCTGTGTTACTTTTTATTAAAATCCAAATACTCTGAAGGATTAATTATGCACAGATTGGAACAATGTAGAGCTGCAGGCATTTTAGTGATTTTGCAGAATCCCATTCATAGAACACCTAATAATAAAGTCACATTTATGCGATGAAGGCTTTTCATAAGAATCGCCATCATTCAGTAAATTACACAATATAACATTGTAGTCCAGACAGCACCACTAGAACGCTGAACATTTGCAGATAAAGAAAAAACAAATCCCATTCATTTCTTAAGTGCCAGATTACATATCAACTAACTATATGTAATCTGGCACTTAAGAAATGAAGACTGGATCAGTTGCGTCCTACCATATTGAATCTTTTGACCCAGACAATTATTTTATGAAGGTCAGACATGACTTGGCGTGAACTCAATTTGTGCCTTAGTCAAGCCATACTCTTTTGTTTTCATATAAGTCGCCCCAAGTCCCTTTTTGGGAGATGGTGGCAGGATATAAATAAAGTTGTTGTTGTTGTTGTTGTTGTTGTTGTTGTTGTTTGAAACGCAACAAGATGAGTCCACAGCTAAAAAGATCACTCTGCTGGTTGTTGTACTGGATCACATGTCGGACTCTTCCCAGGTGTCTAGGACTGTGTCATGTATCAGCGAATAATGCGTGCAGATCCCAGTAAAGTGGCCTTTTGCAACTGATAGATGGTAATTTTGTCAGCGCCGATTGTGTTTAAGTGCAGGCCAAGGTCTTTAGGCGTTGCACCCAGTTTGCCGATCACCACTAGGGCCACCTTTCCTGGCTTGTGCCGGAGTCTTTGCAGTTCGATCTTTAAACCCTCAAATCATGTCAGCTTTTCCAGTTGTTTCTCTTCAATCCTGCTGTTGCCTGGGATTGCAACATCAACAATCCATACTTTGTTTTTAATACAATCGTGAGGTCAGGAGTATTGTGCTCCAAAACTATGTCAGTCTGAATTTGGGCGTCCCAAGGTAGTTTGATGTGTTCATTTTCTATAACATTGTTGTTGTTGTTGTTGTTGTTGTTGTTACTCTCTAATCCAGGGGTTCTCAAACTGCTCCATGGAGTCCTTGGGGCTCCACAGGTGATTGTGAGGGGCTCTGCAGACCATGCTGCTTTCCACCCACTCCTCTTTTCCCCTCTTTGTGAAATGCAGGAAAATTAAAGTTTTGAGCTACTGGAAATAAGAGCAGCAGCAGTGTCCTTTCAGGGCCCCATGTCTGTAAAGGTTTGAGAACCCCTGCTCTAATCTATCTGTTATCAAGTCAGAATGAAACTAGTTTACTGAATGATTTGCACATCCTATAGCCAGTTTGTCTTTCCCAAAGACCATTAAGGGCCCTAGTCACCCCTTGAATTTTGAAATAAAAATGCCCCTTTCTGCATTCTTGGGGATATGTTACATTTACCACTTGTACCACTTCCGTTATTGGCAGAGAGTAGAAGTTTCTTGTTCTCTCACCCAAGAATGGAAGGAGCACAATCAGTAATCTCTTCCTTTTTTGTAACCCATTGTAATAATAATATTATTATTATAACTTTATTTTTATACCCTGCCTCCATCGCCCCGAAGGGACTCGGGGCAGCTTACATGGGCCCAGGACCCAACAATACAGTTAAAACGTAACACTTCAAAATGCATAGCAACAATATATAATAAAACGCAATAGAACAGCAACATTATAACAAAATATAAAACAATGATCAACCAACAACCAATAGCAAAATTCAATATCTCAGCTGGTTAAAATAAATACTTTTGTAAACTAGTATAGTAAAAAATTGAATGCAGGATATGAGAAGCATGCCCTCCAGTATTTCCCTAATGAAATCCAGGATATGGATGGTCAAGCAAAATCAGAGTGTATTCATGCTGATAAAGGTTATTCATGGGGCATGGACATGAATGGCCGATAAGACCAGAATGGGAGAGGATGAAGAAGTTTGCTTTTGCCTGAACCAATTGGAAGAGTCTCTCCTCTGCTCTTCCCTTATTCCTCCAGGGTTAATTGGATACAAACTGCTTTTGTACTTTGAACTCAGTTTACCGCAACTAAAATAAGCAAAGAGCAAAGAGTGGTGTAGAGGAACTGGAATATTTAAAAGCAGCAGAAATGTGGAATGATATAAGATTAATCAGGAATGTGTCTGCCAGATTGAGAAAGCTAAAGGAATGAGTCCAACTGAGAGCACTACACTGTTATACCACTATTATTCTACTTTTAGTGCCATGACACCATTCTGTGGAATTCTGAGGTTTGTAGTTTAGTGAGGCCCAAGAGCTTTATGGAACTGCTGTAAATAGTACTGATATTAGTCATACTTTCAGGAGTACTACTAGTAGTATGACTGATACTAGGCTTACCAGTCAAAGTAGCAGGAAATCTTGATATAATGTATGCAAAGCAATTTGAACACTTTGGAATTTGATAGAAGTATGTGTCTTGTAAACACCAATTGATTGCATGTTTTTGTCTTTTCAGAGTTTCTCACACCAAGATGGGGGTATGTATTTCTTTATTTAGCCATTAATATGTTTTACTAATACATTAATATGTGTTAGCACAGTGGGTTAAAGAGCTGAGCTACTAAACTTGGTGATTGAAAGGTCGCAGGTTCAAATCCAAGAAGCGGTGTGAGCTCCCACTTTTAGCCCCAGCTTCTGCCAACCTAGCAGTTCAAAACATGCAGATGTGAGTACATCAATAGGTACCGCTCCAGTGGGAAGATAACAGCACTCCATGCAGTCATGCTGGCCACATGACCTTGGAGGTGTCTATAGACAATGCCAGCTCTTCAGCTTAGAAATTGAGATGAGCACCAACCCCCAGAGTCAGACACGAATGGACTTAATGTCAGGGGAAAACCTTTACATTTATGTGATAATGGTAGCAATATTTGGAAGGGAGGCACAACAAAAGCAGCTGTCGACAGCTCCATTAGTGGATTTCTGGATTACTCTTTTTCTGGTAAAACAAAATTATCAATTGCCTTTCCTCAAAGCCTTCAGGAGCAACAAGTTATTTTTTCAATAGATGTCAGGGCCACCCTGCACTCTCTGACAGCAAACAATTTTTTTAAAAAACAGCATTAGATTACAGAGGGATAAGAGTTTACTGCAGGATTACTAGGAAATTGGAAATCTTAATTTCAAGACAGAGCCAACATGGTATAATGGTTTGAGTGTTGGACTGTGATTGTGGAGACCAAGTTTTGAATCCCTCTCTACCATGGAAACCCACTGAATGGTCTTGGGTGAACCACACACTCTCAGCCCCAGAAAACCTGTGATAAGGTTGCTTTAGGGTTTGCATAAATTGGAAATGACTAGATGTTTGACAACACTAACAATTCCCAAGATCACTATACTCTAGGCTTGTACAATTCAGCTGAAAGGCAATATATTTTTGGTATCTGAATTTCATTGGGTACCCAGATCCATTTTCAGGACCCTCCCAAAAAGCAGCTAATTGAAAAAAATCTGTTTTTGGCTAGGCAGGTGAAAGATCCAGCCCATTAGTTGGGAATGGAGAACTTATGAGACTCCCCTTTCCATTCCTGGGAGTCTTTCCTTTCTTCCTTTCAAGGGGGCTTGGGTTTGAGCAACAGGGTTAAGGAAACACCCTTCTTGGGACCCTTTTCTTTCTTCCTTTCAAGGTAGCCTGAATTTGAGGAATCATTTATTTATTTACTTCAAGCATTTCTATCATGTGCTTCTCAACCCCGGAGGGGGGACTCAGGGTGGCTTACAAATGGCAGGCATTAGATGCTGACAATAACACCAATCACATTACAAACAAATTGACAATTAAGTGAACAACAGGATTACAAATATATATTAAAATATTAAAAATAAAACATTAAAAATTGAAAGTTTTAAACAGTGCCAGGTCCAGATCACAAATCCAAATCAAAGTCCAGAGTTCCAGTCCGATGTCAATTCATGGTTGATTTTCATCGGTCAATTGCTGTTACTGCTCAGTCAGCGCCTCAAATGCTTGGTCCCAGAGCCATGTTTTGACCTTTTTTCTAAAGGAGAGGAGTGAGGGATTTGCCCTAATTTTGCTGGGGAGTGTGTTCCATAGGCGCGGGGGAGGGGGGTACCACTGAGAAGGCCCTGTCACCCATCCCCACCAAACGCTATTGCGAGGGTGACGGGATCGAGAGCGGGGCCTTCCCTGATGATCATAAACTCTGAGGTGGATCATAGAGGGAGATACGTTCAGAAAAGTAAGCTGGGATAGGATTAGGGAAGCATAACAGAAGGGAGGAAGCCACACCGAGCAGCCACGTAGACCATTTTGGCCTGAAACAAGACGTATTGGCCGAAGGGAGCCGACCAAACCGAATCTGTGCACAAGCCTACTATAATCCCATCACTCATGGTATCAGGACAATAAACTCAATTGAGTCTGCAAAGTGCAGGAAAGTGAAAGCTCCTTCTTCAGTCCTCCCCTCCTCACACACAGAAAATGGTTGTTGTTACTCCATTTATTTGCTACATTTTCACAGTACTGGGACTCAAGGCACCTTCCAAAAAGAGAAATAAATATATTTTACAAATTGTTGCTGAAATACAGTTAAAGAGTACATGGAGTTACTCTACTAAGAAACAAAAGATTAGCATCAGCAGAACAACGCATCATTAAGAGCCCTTGCAGTCAGTTCCCTCAAACCTGTCAGAACAAAAAACCATGTGCACGGAAATATCATGGGAGGAATGTGAGAGAGGGGGAATATATGCACCTGTTTGGGGGTGGCTACACAGAGGCATGTTGAGTTGTTCCTTCCCAGCTGCTATCATATAAAGCTTGTGGGCTGTCACCCCATGTGACATAATGAAAGGGGGAGATTGTAGATTACTAATATTTATTTTTATCTCTACTAATCAAAGATTTATTCTAATTCTAAAAAAAATGATCCATTAGTCTCTCAGATATATTTTATTACACATACAAGCTTTTATAACAGGGGTCTTTAAACTTTTAAAACAGAGGCCCAGTTCATGGTCCCTCAAGCTGTTGGGGGTATAAAGGATAAACACAAAACAATCAATGTAAGGGGAAAATATAATATCCAAAGAGCATGCTGTATATAATTTTATCAAAATTCCCAATATACAGCTCAAAACAGTGGCATAAAGCAAAGTGAAAAGGAGCAACTGCCCTCAAACATAACAGTTCTAAGACTGATAGATTTCAATATATATAGGCTTCAGGGATAAATGTTCAATGAAGAAACTTTTCAAAGTAAACAGACAATGAGTCATGAAGACCTATGAAAAGTCCAAAAAGCATCAAAATCCAAGTACCGTTCAGTGATAACAGAGCACCACTCTCAAAAACATCTTCGTAGGCAAAATCTAAATGGCATCGACAGGGGTTTCTTATAAAGCTATCAGGCACTATATATGAGTCCAGAGTCACTGTGCATATCAACTCCTAAAGAAGGGGATTTTTCCCCAGAACAGGGTACAAAAAATACCCAGGCATCCTTGTCAATGCCATTTGGAAAAACACAGCAGAAGAGACTTAAAAAGCCAAAAAAAAAAAAAAAAAGAAAACCCCAACATTACAACACATGCCCAAAACCACATATATATACGCAAACACACATATATACACATATATACACACACAAAAAAAACACATATACAGACTGGGCCACAGCAATGCGTGGCAGGGGGCGGCTAGTAAATATATAAAAGTTGATCATAGAGTGATACCGGTGGACATAGGACCCTTCTAGACAGGCCCTGTATCCCAGGATCTGATCCCAGGATTTCTGCTTTAAACTGGATTATATGAGTCTGCACTGCCAGATAAACAGAAAACCTGAGATCACATCCTGGGATAAAGGGCCTGTCTGGAAGGACCCTTGGAAAGTCACGGCAAGAATACATCTCCAGTGCTCTCTTAGGTCTTCCAGAACAATTCTATGGTCAGCTTCCAAAGAAGGAACTCAGAAGTTCACTGCCTTAACCCCAGTAAACATGGAAGGCTGACTATATTATTACTATTTTTATTGGTCTATAAGCACTCAAGTCATGACTGGCTTCCTTAGAATAATTGCAAAATGGAGTTGTCTTGCCAAACATACATGAGTTGTGGCTGGACATTACTCAGTGATGTGGAGCATCTGCTGATGTGCTGCAAAGAATGCTTTTGTGCCTATGTTTTTTGAGAGAAGCTCATCACTCACAACACAGAGGTTTTTCTTCATTCAAACTTTGGAATTGTACACCAGAGCAATGATTACATGAATAATAACATCAAACAAAGCAGTACTACCACTATCTTGATATAACTTAGTTGCAGCCTCAGATTCTCAAAATATAGGTCAGCTTACCTATAGGTGAACATGGGTTTGTTGTATTTGTATTGAGATAATATATTGCAACAGAGATGGGAGCCATACAGCCCTCCAGAAGTTGTTGGACTGCAATTTCTAGCATGCCTCATCACTGGTGAAGACTGCTTAGATTTACAGTCCAGCAACTTTTGGCTGCCTGATTTTCATCTCTGCTTTAGGCTGTCTCACTCAAAGATAACTCGGAAAAATGGTCCGAATGAAAGTGGAGGTCCAGTAAATAAGGAATGCCAGAAGCCTATTAATCAAAGACTGACCAGATTACTTTATTTATAACTCCCAGTTATTACTGAACAGTATGTTCTGTGACTACCTTCTTCAAACAAAAGTAAAGCCCTCATACATCAACTGAGAATCGCTGCTAGATCCTTGTGATGACAGACATCTTAACGTTTGCCCGAGAATGTTTGTCTCTTAACATAACATTACTACAATTCTGGCTTTACATCCTGATTTAATTAATAAGGTAATCCATTTTCCCATTTCTGTGCACTTTTTCTTTTGTTTTTATTTCAGGGATGGAATCCTGATCTTTAAGTAAATTTTTTAAAGGAACATTTACAACATTTAGCCATGTATAAATATGTGAGGTGAGGGGAAGTCATAGGGAGGAGGGAGCAAGCTTGCTTTCTGCTGCCCTGGAGACCAGGACGCAGAACAATGGCTTCAAACTACAGGAAACTACAGGAAAGGAAATTCCACCTGAACATTAGGTAGAACTTCCAGACTGTGAGAGCTGTTCACCAGTGGAACTCCCTGCTCCGGAGTGTGGTGGTGGCTCCTTCTTTGGAGGCTTTTAAACAGAGGCTGGATGGCCATCTGTCGGGGGAATTTTGAATGTGGTTTCCCTACTTCTTGGCAGGGGGTTGGACTGGAAGACCCAGGAGGTCTCTTCCAACTCAATGATTCTATGGTTTCAAGAAAAATTAAAATTAATTTACAATATGCACATCAAAAATCTGTTTAATGGACTCCAGAATTTGACCATTAATTGTTTGACTATAATGTGCTACACATGATTTTAGTAAATTGTTGACATTACTATTCTTTATTAAAAGAGATATGTGTTTCTAGCATGTCACTATTGTGTTACTTTTTAGGTACTTCTTTTTTTAAAAAAAATACATTTAAACATTTCCAAATGGATGCAACCCCACCAGTAAAAATTATTAAATATTATATATTCTTAAAAGTAATAATAGCAGCCATCACTTTCCTTTAAAAAAAACATAGTTATTTCCTCATCATTCATCCTTAATAGTGTAATACAGAAAATATGATTTCCTAGTTTCTAACAGACTTCACAACCTGTGAGGATGCCTGCCATAGATGCAGGCAAAACGTCAGGAAAGAATGCTTTGGGAACATGGCCATACAGCCCGGAAAACTCATAACAACCCAATTGCTATTATTATTATTATTATTTTTACTATTATTATTTCTTACCCATCTTTCCTCATGGCTTGAGGAGGGTCACAACACAGTCAAACCACACAAACATTGCAAAAATTCAATAAAATGCATATTAAATGTATAAGACAGAGGTTAAAACACAGGACACGAGTTTTAAATTCATGCTTAAAACTGGCTGAGTAGGTCTGCCAGAGGAGATAGGTCTTTAGGTCTTCATGTAGCTGTTGGAACTCTTCTGGCAGGCCGTTCCACAGTCTTAGGGTTTTCTTGGAAATATTTGTTCTGAGGGGGTCTGCCTTTGTCTACCTCAGAAGCTGAGAGAGTGTGACTTTCCCAAGATCACCCAATCAGTTTCCAAGGCCAAGCAGAGATTCAAACCCCGGTCTCCAGAGTCATAGAACCTCATCACAGGAAAACAGGGAAAAGCAGAGGAAGCCGTCTTCTTTCATCTGCCTTTCCATCTTCATCTGCCTTTCCATCCCACATCCATTCCCCACCTTTCCCCACTTCCATCCAACTTCTTTCAGACTTCTGTCATTGGGAGTCAGGTAACACCTGACTCCTGAAAATGGAGTCTTCCCTCCATTTCCCAGTGCAGCTGCAACAAAGTCCAGAAGTGGCCTTGTGTGATGTGATGGCCTTCATGGGACTCTATTTTGGCAGAGCAGAGAAACTGAGAGAAGTCAAAGAAAAGTGCTAAGTCCAGCACTGAACCCACCAAACCATGCTGCCTCTGTATCTATTCTCATCTACAGGCAGTCTCCGCATTACAAACATCTGACTTACAAATGACTCATAGTAAAGAACAGGGTGAGATAACAGGTAGTGGGAGAAATCTACCCTTTGGAAGGGAAATTGACTCCTGAAACAGTTATCATGGGAAAAAGATTTCTCACCAGAAGCTTTATCATCAATCCTTGTTTCCACAATAAGCCACACCAGACCATATTTTTCAAAATCCAATTATCACAGGGACAAAAAGTGAGGTGAAATCTGAACAGGGGCACAGGCAGTTAAACAAACATCACAGGAGAGTTAATCCTTCCTTATTCTATCCAAAGCACATATATATATATATATGGCTGGGGTTACACTAGGACCTTGTTACATGGGTGGTCGCTGGTGGAGCAATGTTCTTAATGGTGAGGCATGGAGGTGGTCATTTTGCCTTGCTTGACCCGCCAGCCAGCAATCCCATTGAGGAAAATGAGGTGAGTGTTCAGTGCACGTGGCTTCCCTTTGCTGCCCTACAGTTCTAATATTTCACCCTTGCTGAATAATTTAGTCATTTCAGTGGCCCTGATTGGTGTGTAATACTCCCCCCCCAAATCACTGCAAAACATTGTGTCTAAAGCTATTTGTTTTACGATTGAATGGAAGTTTGAAATGTTGGAGGAAACAATTGCATAACAGAAAGGACACAAAGTATGCTAGAATGCAGTAGTGAAGTCTGTAGTCATAACATCTGGTTGTTGGCCCTGAGCACATAATATTGCAGTTACAGCATTTCTAACATAGCATAACTGACAGAGCTGAGTAAGTATCTGACTTCATATTATTAAGTCAGTGACATTATGTATTCCTTTTGTCTATCCAGTTTAGCAGCCTAGTTCTGCCCCATCATTTCTGAATTGCTTTAAAACTCCACTAATTTAGCCAGGAAGTGACCCAAACAGGAGTAATTGTGGTCAGGCTTTTTGTGCATAAGAAAGTTCTGTGTCTTAGAAATGGTTTGCTTACTTCTGTTTAGGTAACCTCACAACCTCTGAGGATGCCTGCCTTAGATGCAGGCGAAACGTCAGGAGAGAATGCTTCTAGAACATGGCCATACAATCCGAAAAACCTACAACAACCCAAAATATAAATGTTCCTAAGTAGATTCATTTAGCTATAGAAGAAAATTAACACATGAACCAAGTTTATGGATAAAAGTCTATTACTTTCACTACACTATAACTAAAAGCTGCAACTTTTTACACACCTTAAAAAGGGAAAGCTATCATTTGTGCTAGAGATACATTACTTGATTCTTCATGTTATGCATGGGTATTTGTGTTTCCTTTTTTCTTTTCAAAGGTCACTGACCTGACACAATCTAGAACCTCCCAACATGGTTTTGTGTGCACACAACCAAAAAATATTTTAGTCATCTGGCCTTTCTGTCCCAACACACACATACACACACACTCCTCGGCTACTGAATGGCAGCCAAAGCACAATGAGCCTGCTTTTCACTTGTTTTGATCCAATTATGTGGGACAAAGCTTTGGGTGCCTATTGTTCAGGGTGATAAGTTAGGAACTCTGCTGTCTAAGCAGTGAAGCCTCTGGGGTCCACAAGGCAATCTCTAATTCCATTTCTCGTTCTCTAACAACCAGATGCAGTAAATTACATATACTCCCAGATCCCCGAACTCACAGCCCTCTATTCGCGAGCAGCAGAGTCAGTTTCTGGGAAAGACAGGACAAGCAGGGTTACTGGTAAGTCTCAATGGAGCACCATTTATTTTTTCAATCAATAGGATAATTGTTAACATCTTGGATTTCCTGGGACTAACACCTAGCTGTATTTTATGAGGAGGAAACAATGGAATTACTTGACATAACTAGTGGACAACCTAAAGAGATGCTTCTCCATGTTCTGTCTATCTATTTGTCTTCTGTCTGTCCATCTATGTTTATTCATTTACCAGATAGTTAAAGCTTCTGTTATTTAATGTGAGAGAAACATTCATAAAGGAAAATTAAGGCATTTAGTTCTGCCTGCCTGAAAAGGCATTTAGGAACATTTGTGGTAAGCTTATTATGCAAAGGTTAACATCAACCAGACTCTAAGAGAAATTGTTAAATGTTGGTGAGTTCAACAGTAAGCAACATTAAGCTGTCACTGAAATCAGTGGTCATGGGAATAAAGGATTGTCTAAACCTTGATTTTATGTTTCTTTTGGTTTTAATGCTGCTTGATCCAAATAATTGCAGTCTGCACATCATTGATACATTCAACCTTACCTCTTTACATCACCTTAAATGTAAGCTAAAGAGTGAGTAAATAAGGAACTCCACATTGTTTCTTACATACCTCCCTCCACACAATCGAGTACATAGTTCTACAGAAAATGTAATGAGAAATATTAGGGAAATTGTGAAAAGGGCAAGGGGAATATATTAGAGCTGGGGCAAATGCTCAGGCAAGTTGGGCATAAATCTTATTACAGTTTATGTTTTTTAAAAAATATTCTTGTCTGAATACATCTATCTTAAGAGTGAGTTAACATTTTTCTAATGAATGATTCCTATGATACATAGGCTGCAGTCTTAAGAGTGCAAAGAGGCTGCATTACAAACTGCCTCTCACATCAGTCCTGTAATGTGAGTGGACGTACAACTGCAACATTATGTGTGAAATGCACAAAATGAAGGCTCAGTTTGAGCTATTCAGGAAACTCAGACAAGGTGATATTATGTTGATGGAGTGGTACAGAAAGTAGTTTACTGGTCCCACACAACCTAGAGATTGATAATTCAGAACCATCCTTGGTTGATGACTGTCTTTGTTGATAACCAGACCCTAGGTCTTTGGGAACCATCATAATGCAATGATTTGAGTGTTGGACCAGGACTCTGGGAATTCTACTCGGTGACCCTAAACAAGCCCCTCTCCATCAGTTTTGGAGGAAGGCAAATGCAAACACCTCTGAACAAATCTTGTGAAGAAAACTCTGTGACTCTGGGTCATCTTCTGTCAAGCATTAATGTGAAGACACATAACAACAACAAATCCTGTACCATACCAATGGACACAAGTAATTACTCAGCAATACCTAGTTACTGCTAAATAGGTGTTTCCCCAGTAACAAATTACATTACAATTTTACATTAATAAGAAATAACTTTGCTCTTTTGTGGTGCAATTGCCTTGAGATTCCCATGAAACAACACAGCACATTCCCCTGTAACTGATAGCAAGTACACAAGTGGTCGTGCTTCCTTGACATTTGAAGGGAAAGAGAGCATGGTAGTAAAATCTATTGAAATGGCAAGATGTTCTCATTCACATAAAAAAATCAGTCCCTCTGAACAAGAATGATTTTTACAAACTAGATCTCATCCAGTGGAAATCAATCCTCTTTCAAATGCATGAACCTGCCTGTGAGAGCTGCCTCTTTCTACTATTTCTTTACTTGTAGCAATGTATTCACTTATTTGTTTTTAGAAAATGATTTACACTCTGCGTGTGTTTCTTCACAAATAAACCAAATTCTGAGAGTTTCACTTAAGGAAGAATGCAAATATAAGATGGGGGGAAATGTAGTACTCTGGGTGAGAGTTACCTCTTCCCTCTCAAGGTGAATCTTCTTTGCCCTGCATCATTAAGATGTGTAGATTAAGACATCCTCATTGGTACCAAGGAATTGAGCCATTTGTCTCAGGAGGTGGTTCCCAATCTTTCTCTCTTACCATGACAAAAATGAAGAGGGCACTCTTTTGCTTATACTTGCATGTTTACAAGGAAAACTAGGGTAAAAGACATCCAGAAGGCAGTGGTATTATTTGACGTAAACACCAGTACACAAAACAAATAACTCCACTAGTAGCTGAGAACTGTAAATAATACTGTTGGGTGTAAATGTTATTGCTCAGCATGCCAGCACACAAAACAACACATAAAATGTGACTTATTGGAAAACACAAGGATAGAGGAAGGCCGGATTCTTGGCCATTGTTGAAATTGCATCCCCACAAGGTGTACTACCAGTTGAGAAACACCAGTCAAAGTGTTTTAGTCCCATTTTGTATTGTTCACTCTCATCATTTATGTGATAAAGAAAAGAAGAAGAAAAATCATGTTTCCTAGCCATGTTTTGAAGAAACCTTAAGGAGGTTAACCCAGCAGCGTACCATATTAATATGCGGAGAGTGTCAAAACTGCATTTCAAATTCTCTAGCAGTGATACTGTGATGTTTTGAAGTACTGGATTTATGACCTCCCATGAGTTGGGCAGAATAGTCCCAGAATTTTCAATTTACATAAAAAATAAGAAAAAAATACACATGGGCACATGATTGGGTTGAGATGTGGATACATGGACTTAGAGTTCATAATATCTCTTATGCCCCCTTCCTATGGAAGCCAATTGTATATGTTTCCCTTATCAAAGTTCCCATTCTCAAAAATCACACAGAGCATCCAGTTAATGGCTCTAGTTTCCTGAATGTGAAAGTGAATTGAGACTAATTAGTAGATCCTCTAATCCAGTGGTTCTCAACCTGTAGGCCCCCAGATGTTTTGGCCTTCAACTCCCAGAAATCCTAACAGTTGGTAAAGTTGTAGACCAAAATACCTGGGGACCCACAGGTTGAGAACCACTGTGTCTAATTCATGGTTTGATTTGCTAATCAGGATCCTTAAAGTGGAAAATAAATATCATATCCAGCTAAAAAACTAGTAGTACTAGTACTGCTTTTCCCTTGGGATTTAATTTTTGTGTGTACCTTCAGAACAGTTAATCGTACCTGAGCATTCATCATTTGATATTTAGAGTATGAAGAGCTGACTCTTAAATGTTGAATGGGCCATAACAGATCAGTCCTTCCTCAAAGAACTTGCATTATTTTTTCACACTACAGAATGAAGTCAGTTCAAGCACTCCATTTCTAGTCATCACATAGACTGAAAAACAGGCCTGTGGATAGTGTTGAATTGCAGAGTTGATGAACAATGGCACGTTAATGTGCAAATTGGGCCTTGGTTGGACAAGGGAGCAGAATATACAAAAGCGAAACATTTTCAGTGTTGCAACAACATTGTTACTGAAGAACAGGCTGAAGGACCCACCCAGGCTATGCTTGGGCATTTCATTTCTACTTCTTCTGTTTTCTTGTTAACTTGTCCCTTTTCTCAGATCTAGATGAAGAGTAAACACTGAAGCCAAACTAGTCTTGTTTGTTTGTCTTTCTAATCAGACCAAGTAACTTCTCAAGCCCTCCCTCCATGCCATGCTGTGCTTTTGGAGTAAGGAAGCATGGGAGCACAGCATTGTATACTTTAGTACTCTAAAAGCATGGTCTCTGCTATAATTTGCAGCTCAAGTGGATTATCTCAAGAAGGTTTATATTTCTTCCTTTATTTGCATATATCAGTATCTATTGGTGATAGGATTGGAGAAGATAAAACCTGAGTATTAGAACTCTTTTTGTAGAAATGTTTTGGCTTCTGAGACTGTACCAGAACACATTGCCAACAACCCTACATCTCCTACAGTTATAAATTGCCTTGATTAAAGCTGAGCATCTTAGACAAATGTACCATCGTGTACTATCTCTGCACACTTGCAGAATTATGCAAGACACACTCAGCCTCAATCTACACATTGATGCATGTGTTAAAATAATCTTCACATCCTGACCCCGCATAGCAATGATGCAAATATAATCACCTTATGTTATGCAGCTTTTTTTGACATGGATGTCAAATGGTTCCTTCCCCACCCCAGCGCCCTCAAGAGATGTTGTAGAACAGATCCCAGCATCCCAACTTTCATGGCCATTGACTGTGTCACCTGAGAATAGATAGGAGTTGTAGTACAAGGTATCTGAACGGCTCTGTGCTAGGGATAACCTTTTTGAGGCACTGACAGATACCTGAAGGAACACCTGAAACTGCTGAAGATACTCTTATGTTGCTGGAAGTTCCCACATTTCTCTCTCAAAAAAATTAACAAGTAGTTCTGTCTATTATTATTATTATTATTATTATTATTATTATTATTATTATTATTATTATTATTATTGCCCCAATGTGTTTATGTTAAACCAGAAATGGTCAACTGGTGCCTGTTTCATCACTGGAGAAACGTGTGTTGGTGTGTGCTTGCTGCAGCAGAGGAGACAAGAAGGATCAGAACCAGTTATTCTCCAAATAACCTCCCCTCCCTCTCTGTTAGTCTCACTCTTCCTCCTTACTTCTTCTTTGCTTACTTTTTCTTCCTCAACAAGACTGCCTGCAAGGCAGAAATTGACTCCTCCTTTCTCCTGTTCATTGGCCTTCCCCAGTAGCAAAGGCAGACAATGTTAGCTGGAAAAGCTTTTGACTTCCTACTGCTGTGGCTGAAGGGGGAATGAATGAAAGGCATGGCAAAAACCTTTCATTTTCTGACAAATTTGAATAACTAGTTTGGCCAAAATGGTGAGAACCACTGTTGCATAGTGCTTAACATGCCCCATGGAGACAAGTTGGTAGGCCTGTCTGTTTGTTTCCTCCTTCACCTAACAGAATGTCTTGAATGCAGAAAATGAGATGATGGAATTTGTTCAGCTTTGCAGAAAGTATGGCTAGCACCAGTTGCATTGACTGCTCGAGAATAACACTGCTTCTCTTTGTAGTATCCACCACATTTCTAACCTAGAATGCTTGGCACTGTAGGGAACAGCTTCTTTAGGCACAGTTTGTCTATCTTCTTTGGGGGCACATCTTGTCTGTTTGGCAATTAACCATTCACATGCTTTTTGTTGTTGTAACATGCACTTCCTCTCTTCTTTCCATTCAAGCTTTGTACAGCATGGAAATTAATGTGGAGAAAGACAAACAGACAGGGGAGACCAAGATCCTCTCTACATGCCCCATTGGCCTAGAGGCTGCCCATCAAAGAGGAATCAAGGTCTATGATGATGGTACCAAAGTAGTCTATGAGATGCACTCTGGAGGCACAGTAGTAGAAAACGGAGTGCATAAGTTAAGCTCAAAGGATGTAGATGAACTTATTCAGAAGGCTGGACAATCAAGCATGAAAGGAGGGACTGTATCAATAGTGGATGGGACCCTCAGCCACACAAAGGAACAGATACTCTTCAAGGAGGCAAAACTTGAGATGGTGCACAAACCCAGCAAAAGGCATTCCGCGAACCCTCGACACCAAGCAAAACTCACTGGGGATGAAGTCCCCACAGCCAGTGTGGATCACCCAGTAACAATGATATTTATGGGTTACCAAAATATTGAGGATGAAGATGAGACAAAAAAGGTGCTGGGCTATGATGAGACAATCAAGGCCGAACTGGTCCTCATTGACGAAGATGATGAGAAATCGTTACGGGAGAAGACGGTGACCGACGTCTCCACCATGGATGGGAACGCTGCTGAGTTGGTTTCTGGGAGGCCCTTGTCGGACACAACAGAACCCTCCTCGCCAGAGGGGAAAGAAGAAAGCCTCCCCATGGAAAAGCTTCCAGGTACAGAAAAGAAAAAGCGCTGTCAATGCTGTATTGTCATGTGACCACCTCTTCCTTCCTTCCTCTTCTTCTGAGCAGTTCATGCTCCATCACTCCCTTAGAGCTCACTGTATTTTTTTTCTAACTGCAATACTGTGAACTGGAAGTGACTGCCTCCATTGCCTTGCAGTTGGGTTGCTCTATTGTTTTTTTTCTAATTCTTCAAGGGAGATGAATCATGAAAAACATGATTTCTCACCAAATGCACTGTTTTGGGATTTTTCTTTAAGGGTGAGAGAGAAACAAAAGTTGAACACACATACATAGAAACACTTTCATATTTCAAACAGATCTATCTATATCTAGCTATATATAATATATGAATATGCATACGTGGATGTGTGTTGATATGCATATTTATGTATTGCATATATTTATGAAGTGTATAAATGTATATGAAGAATTTTACTTTATATATCAAACAGGTATGATCAGCCTCCAAGGATTTTGCAGGACTCTTCTTAAGTTTCACGTACATGTGAGCCTTAAACTGCATTTTAATGTTGTTTTTAACAAAAAATAGGTTTTATTTTTTACTGGGCACTTGGTCATCATGATGTTTTGATATCACAAAATTCAGGCCCTTCCTTCTATAATGGACTTCACAGCTTGTTTTATTCTGAACTCTGGAAGTTATTCAACTAGTTTGCTCTCTCAAAACCTCCAAGAAATCTACTAGGATTTGAGCTGGAATACCACCAGGGGAGGAAAGGCCACAAACAATAGGTTAAACCACAGACATGAAAAGTTCTTTTTTTCGAATTAAAACTCCCCAAAGCCCCTGGTTAGCATTGGCTGTTGCCATGCTGGCTGTGGGTTTCTACGAACTGAAGTCCAGTGTGGATTTTCCAAAACATGTTGCTGCTACAAAACCTCCCTTCATTTTTCCAGAGTCTCCAATGGACTTCATTGAGAGACACTGATGTTTCCCAACAGTAGCTCTTGCCAAATTGCTTCTGCTTGGAGAAACTTCAATACTGGGCAGTACTGTTGGCATCAGTGGGACTTGTATGCACGCAAGTGTATCTTGGATAAACAGCTTTGGTGCTTATTTTGTGGCATGGAAGACAACAACATTGGTTGTATTCACTGATGTAACCAAAATGTGGTTTTTTTTTTACTTCTATTTCTACCTAGAGTGGTGGTTCATTTTAATTTGGTTGTGGGTTTTTTTAATTTAATTTTATTGGCCTTGTCTAAATCTTCCAGCTTACAGTATTGTGCATCTGTTCCACCTCCCTACATTCAAATTGAAATAAACATGCCGTGAAAATGGGATCCAGCAGCTGCCACAACTTAAGTGTAGAGCACTAATTTGAATGACTTGCCTTTAAGTAACAGTGCCCTACATATGTGCCTGCTTGCTGCAACCATGGAATGTGAAGTATTCTTTTGTCGTTTACTTAGAATATGTACCCATGATAATGGTCATATGATTGAAACTATTCCTAGAAAAAATGTCAGAAAAGTGTCATTTTTTTCCTCTAAGGGAGAAGGATCTCAAGTTATCAAATACGTTTTATCTAAAAATGGAGGTGTCACTATTGACTCTGAGAACCAGACAGAGAAGTCCATGGCTTCCTGTGAAGCAAGATCTGTTGATTTGAAGTACTCTTACCCAAAAGAGGGGGTCAGATTAAGATACTGGTTGCTTGCATTGGCCATATCCACAAAGCAATTTCCCAGGTCCTGCTACTTAAAGAATTCAGAACTAGTTTGTAAATCCAGATAACTGGGACTTCATTTACCTATGGTGGCTCAAATATTACTTGTTTATTTGTAAAGCTTCAGTCAAATATTATTTGGTTTCTTCAATTTCATCACAAAAGTTTACAAAAGACAAGGGTCATCTCCTTGTCTGATTTTTCTCATTTGACATAGCTAGACATTATATTTCCCAGGACTGGGCCCCAAGAGAGAACAGCAGAAGGTCTTGGGCTCCATGCTGCCTCTTTATCATTTCTTCACTGTGGGTCTAATCATTATTTGAGTGTGAGATGGTATTAAACTCCTATTCCTATCAGCCAAGGCCAGTGTTGCTGGTGACAGGGATGATGGAAGTTATAGTCAAACAAAACCCAGAGAAGTAGTTCCCAACCTTTAGTCCTCCAGTTGTTTTGGACATCATCTACCAGCTAGTTTATCAGCTGTTAGGAATTGTGGGAGCAAAAGTCCAAAACATCTTGAAGACCAAAGACCAGGAACACTGGCTAAAATTACACAACTTTTTTCAGTTGAGCAGGTGGCAAGATCATAGTATACCTACTAATGATATAATTATCTGCTAATTTCATGCTTGTAGAAAGCAAGATGTAATTTTAGCAATCTTTTTCTGTAAGAAAGTGAGACTATTTACAGACTGGACTTATTCCATGCAGAATTCACACATGGCATTTTTGTTTAAAAAACAGTTTTTTCTCAGCACTATTTTCTATGCAGAAAATGCTGTTTTCTGAGCAGAAAATTGTGTAATCATGGATTCAATCTGCAAAATTCATACCTTTTTGCAGTGTGACTTTTATGCACAATAAGTCCTAAACTGGAGATTCTCACAGATTTTTCCTAACACTCGAGAAACACATTTTCAACCATTTCTTGAACATTTTCAAATATTCTTAACCATCCCTGGCGTATACACTGAAGGCCATCTTTTCTGTGAATGTTTGATTAAGTATCAGTCTTGGAGGCTAAAATGCCCTGTTGTAGTGAAGAGACAGAAGAGGGTTATACTAAATCCCACATTCAAATAACATCAAGACGCCCCCTGTTTCGTGTTCACTTCTCCCCATAGTAGAATGAGCAAGAGATATGCAAAATAAAACAAACAAATCTGATTATATGAGCCCAGAGACCACTGCCATGTTCTACCTAGGGATACCTAGGGATACTTAGATACATTATTATCCTTTTTAATCCATTAATGTGTGGCAAAATTTAGAATTGCACTTTCCCAGTCTACACTTTCATTTGATGCCCATTAAGATTGTCTTCTAATAAGCCTTTGTTTATGTAAATCCAAGATTGGCATTGGTTGTATCTGGTTACTGCAGGTGATAAGTGATCTTCCTCAAGGTACTTGACATGAAAACAGAACTGATGGATGGATTCCAAGAAGTGCAACTGATTGATGGATGAATCCACTCATGGAATATAGTAGACCAATTGACTACAGAGACCTCACCTATTGACCTGTGTCCCCCTTGCATTTCCTGAAGAGAAGTTCCTGATACATTCTAAATTAGAAGCTATAATTTTTAAATTAGAAAACAAAATATAAAAATCAAATTCAAATTAGAACCCAAGCCTCTTCTGGCATTAAAATAACTTCAACCAAGGAGATATTTCATAAGTTTTTGGAGGCAACATAAACCCAATGTCAATCTTCTTGCAGACTTAGGGGGTTTTTTACCCCCAGTTTCTTTGTTCTCTCTTGGATGGTGCTTTAACTGTAACAACATCATGTAGAACAAAATTCTCTGAACTCTTTTCTTTCTGTGCCATTATGGGTGATGTCACTGCACAGTTACTTTCCATGTAAGGAATACTAAAATGAACAGAGTGGGGTTTACAAGATTATACTGCACCCTGCGTTTAAATACTAGTAGTATATCGCAATTGTGTTCCGTTAAACTTACTTCAGCATTATATGCTTAGGATCACAGCCCTGAAAGGGTAGACATTACACTGCTGAGAAATGCAATCTCACACTTTTTTATTAATAGAGCACTGGATTTCAAATCACTGCTTGCAAATATCACAATTTAAGAAATCAAGCGAACAGTTCTAAATGAATTTATACAGGCACAAAGTGCAATCTAATAATTGTCTACACAGAGATAAGCCTCACTGAGTTCAATGGGACTTTCGGCCAGATAAGTCTGTATAGGATTGCAGTGTCCTACAACCCCTGTATTTGCTCCACTCATTATTAATAACGCCTGCATAATTGTTTATTATTCAGTCTCCTTCTCTTGTTATTAGTTTTAATGCAGGGTAGGAATCACCCAGTCCTCCAGATGTTGTTAGCCTGCAAGTCCCAGCCTGCAAATCCTGTGGCAAACAATACTGGGAATTGCTCCGCAACAACATTTGGAAGACCTTAGGGATGACTACCATGTTTTCATGTTACATACCCCATCGTTTCCTTATCAATGTAAGTTTCATTGTGTTAGGAAATACGTTTTACACCAGCCTGCCATTTCAGTTTTTGCTACTATTATTCTATTCAAAACCAATTCAGCATTCTCCTTAATTAAAATATCTTTTATATAGCATAACAACAAAACCAAAGGATCTATCCTAAGCAACCTTTCAAGCTTTACATTTAGAATCCAGTGAGAAGGAAGCAAAAATTAGGAGAGTATCTATTCTGTTTGACATCATCCAGTGTTACTATTGATTAAGTATTTGTTTCCTAGTTACTAAAATAAGACAAGCAGCTCACAGCAGTTTCATTCATTTAGCATCAAAAGATGCTTAATACTAAGTCAGTGAAGGAGATGAGGGAACTACAAAGTTTAATGCATAATGGTTAGAAATAGAGCACAAGAAATAGACATTTTTGTCAGATACAACAGAAAACTGCATTCCATTGATAGGTGTTTATATTTTATTAATGCCCTCAACAACCTGTATTTCCCAATGCATGGAATTCAATGTTAAACTCCCATTTTAGAAGGTTACCAAAATGAATTATTTCCTATGCATCAAGCACAATAATTGTTGGAAACAGCAGATATGATTCAATTGAAATTAGGCATATTCATATTCTATAGAAATCAACAAGTAGATCTTAATATACATATAAACTTTCCTTGCTGTCTCTTATTTCTTCTAAAAGAGTTTTCAACCATCAGTTTGCTCTTTTCCTAAAGGGTTGAATTCAGTCTAATTTAACTGAATTTGAACCTCATTGAAATCAATGGAACAAATTGCTATTGGTGATAATGATGATGTAGTAG